AAAAAAATAATGCTATGATGCGTCGTCTAATCCCTTTCGCTCCTTGTAGGTTGAGGAAGTCGTATTCCAATAAATGGTGTCTCAAATTCCTCGAGCTGTGATGCTGTGATACACCGCACCAGATTTTCCAGAATTGGTTTTTTAGCCAAATTTGACCGTGCATAGCGATATCAAAGACCACAAAATCTTTTGAAATCGAAATTTTATCATATTGAATCGATTTTTTGGTTCATTTAACAAAAAAGGTGGAAAACAGCCGTTTATGAGTAAAAATTTTTGTTTTCTCAAAGTTCCAAAAGAAACTATATTAAGTATTATACACATTTGGAAATCTCTTGAAGAGTTCTTTCCAAATACATTGAAATCGAGGAGAAGAAATCAGAATCGTTTGGATGGTTATCCGTTTTGTCGGGTATCCAAAGAGTAGCGTTTTTAGCGGTTTCTCGGAAAAAGCACCAAAAAAAAAATTTCCAAAGGTAGATTTATAATGTTATACATACGGCCACAAATAATTTTTACATGGTTTTTTTGGTACATAGAACGCTTTTTAACAAATTCTGGTTGTTAAAAAATTATTTAATGAGTTTTTGAAATTTAAAAAAAAAGGAAAAAAAAATGACTTGAAAACTAAAAAAATTTTGACCGAGTTTGAAGTATTTTGAAAAGATTTTGATTCTGATTCTTCATGAAATAGGTTGATATTTGTTGAATGTTACTTCAGAGAAAGAAGAATTGCGTGTTTAAGTCCCGAATGAAAAAAAAAATCAGGAAAATCACTGAAAACTTCTTGAATTTTCTAAGAAAAAGATATCAAGTATTATTCATATGTGGAATCCTCTTGAAGCGTAGTTTTTCAATATTTTACAAGATAATCGAATCATTGAAAATCCTTTGAACAGTTATCAGTTTTGTCAGTTATACAAAAAATAGCGCTTTTGGTGGTTACTCGGAAAAAATGCAAAAATATAAAATTTCCAAAAGTAGATTTATAATGTTATACATACGGCTATAAAGAACTTACACGGGGTTTTGTTTTGTATAAAGAACCTTTTTCAACAATTTCTAGTTAATAGAAAACTGAAAAAGTTACCTGACAGTTAGACCTCATTGTCAGGTAGTACTAAAACGAATTCACAGAGGACACCCATGACAGGTAGCGATGCTGGGAGTATCAAAATGTGGTGGCCTCAAATGCACAAGGACAGTGAATCTCGAGGAGGAATGCCGTAGTTGCACCAGATATGTTTCAAACGCAAAGTATCAAAAATTGCATCAAAACCTCTACGACTGCCTACGCATCCGGTTCAGGAACTCCAGTTAGAGAACACGGGTCCAATAGAAAAACATAACGGAAAAAAATACTTGCTCGTAGCTATTGATAGATTCTCAAGTTTTCCGTTAATAAGAATAACTAAATTAACGAGTGGAAACACTATGGTAAAATATTTGCAAACATATATCGATACACATGGTATCTCGGAATCAATCCAATCAGATCAATTTAGGGCTTCAAGGGGAAATCGTATAAGTAATTTTGTACAGAAAACGATATAGAGCAACACTTCTGCCCTGTGGGTGACCATCGCGATTGCGGATAAGAAGGAAGAACCATGCAATCAATAAAGCAAAGACAAGTAGTAATGTTAGTAAAAGAAAACAAGCGCTTGAACAAACCCTGCCTCAACAGAAAAACCCGTGATCTTCGGTAGAACAAACAAAAAACTATCCAAGTCTCTCCATTTCATGCACATTTAGGAAGAATCCCGAAAACTTAATTTAAAATACTAGGTGTTCGATTTATGACGAGTTCTGACTACTTAGACATCTGGAATGATCTGGCTCACAGCCTTGTAGCTCAAAAGAGGAATCGACCGACCAGGGAAATCTGAAAATTGCCACCAGAAACGGGGCAATTAGAGGAGATACAAGTCCGATGTACAAACAGCAACTTACCACAGCACGAGATAGAGAACATGCAAAGGTCCTAGAAGGCCTAACGGGAGGCGAACGTCAGATGGAATTAAGAGCGTACAGACGCCGCGAAAAATGACTTTCGATTAATTGTGGATGCAGCAGTCCAATCCCGAACTCAGAAAAAAAATGATCTACTCCTGGGAAAAAGGGATTTTTTGAGGACAAAGAGGAGGAGTAATCGCCTTCCACGAAAAAACGATACTCCGAAAAGAGAAATTTTAAAAAAGCGGCCAGGCCCTCCTGAAACGCCTGAAGGTAAGGATAGCTTCCGAGACAGGGTCGACAGTGAAAACATCCGGAGGTTCAGTCTACCGAAAATCGGATATTGTAGAAGCAAAAACTCATTAACAACAAGAACCGACACAAGGCTTGAGTAAAAACTCATCAGCGGAGCGAAGGAAAAACTCCAAGAGATCAATTCGCCAGAGAGATTGGAGGAGAGTGATGCCGACATGAAACTGCAACTGCAGTCACAGCGAACGGACTCATTGTTCGCCGAAGAAAGGTTCCAACACAATCGGACCCTAGTCACCTCTAGGGTAACAGAGGCAGGGGGAGGGTTAAATCTAGCAAAAAAGTGGGCTAAACCAAACAAGGGAGGACCAGGCTCATCAAGCGGACCAAAAACGAATGGAGAAGTCTTTTTGAAAAAAAAACGAGAAGAAAAAAAAAGACAATCCAAGAATTCCGCTAAGAAAAAGCTGCGACGGCAGCAAGGGAACCCGTCACAGAAGAAACGGAAAAATGAAGACAGTTCAACAGCCCGGAAACAGCAGAAAGGCGGAAAACAAAAGAAAAAAGATCTGTCCACTAAATCAGAGGACATCTCAGACATCTTCCAAAATCATGACCTAACGCGTGTCGAATGGAGAACTCGGCTACAAATCACTAAAGAAGGGAATGTAAAAATGGCAGACGAATTCAGAGGGAAAAACCAATCCACGGGAAAAACCAAAGAGGGATGACCGATTTGACCCTCCAACAGGCGCATCTGACGACTCGAGCATGGAGGACACCGGGGTCAGAAGAAGCTCCCGACAAACTAAGAGTAAGGAACTCCAATGTTATGGCAATCCAGCCAAGCATTCGATAATGGAAACTTCGCAAGAAGAACTCTCAGGTAGGAATTTTTAAAAGCGACACTACAAGACTACGAGAGATTACTTAAGATTACTTTAAGACACGAAACGATCAACCAATCAAAACGCGACTGAGGCTATTGGAGAGACACTTATTTAGACGAAAATTTGGATACGCTACACTATAGGAAGGCGTTGACTGGAAACTCAGCTGGGTAATATAACTAGACAAATATTGAGAAATGAAAATAGACAACAAACAATTTTGCAATTGAGATGGCAACTTTTAAAACTGAGAATGAAAACTCCTAATGTTATTATAAGGTTATTTCCAAAAATGTTTAATTTTCTTTTCACCTCAGCAGCTATGTGGTTTTGCTACTGCAATAGCACTAACGTAGGCTAACCTTAAGTGTTTTATATACCTATTTTTGCTTCCTTTTTATAGATCAATGTTACTGTAGTTCAAATCTTCAAATCTTCAAAACTACCGCTGGTTTGATCAGACTGGAATGAATCTACGTAGAATTCAGCAGTTCTCACAGAGAAAAACTACTATTTAGAAGAACAGTTTATTTCTTTGGAAGTAGGAACTAGTTATTATCTCAAGTTAGTACCGTAGTAGTAGCGGTGACGTATATATGTTCTACCCATTTTGAGTTGCGAAGATCGCAAAAGAAAACATTTTTGGCCGCAATGATTTTGCGCGACGTAAGTGGCATACCTAGACCTCAATTCACCTCCCGCTTTGGCCTAGCACAACATCCCAAAAATTACCTCAAAAGTATTTTCAGTGGTTTTCTTTGAAGTTTTCGCCGAAAACAAGGCGTAGGTAGGAAATCTGTAATGCGGATGGTTTTTCGTTTTTGGAGTACTTTTTAATGGTCGATTTTTTTTCCTCTAAATTTTTGCGTTGGACGTCGTTTCTTTATGAAGCTTTCATTCAACCAGATCAAAAATCACCTTTATAATGAGCAATATCCAATTTTCATTCCCGCCAAAAGAATAGTGAATCACAACGCCGTACTAATTCACCATCTTCGGGCTTCTCATTGATATCTGAGCTCCCAACATAAGACTGAGTTTGTTTTTTGTACCTCGAGAACTCGTCTTTTGGTCAACTTGCATGCTTGACTCTTGCGCATCGTCTACTCGACTGTTGATTGTCTCATCAAATTCTTAGGTCATGCCCGTGGTTTCGAGCATATTTTCAACAGATACTTTAATCTGCGCTTTGGGCTCAACTGTAGCTATTTGCTAATTTTCCGTTCGGAAGTCTTACTCTGACAAAAAGTGGGTTAATTACCTGATCATTATCACCGGAGTCACTAAAGGGTTGTCCTTGTTGCGGACAAACTTTTTCAAATCAGAGCCGCAGCCAGATGATAACCAATAAACAAATGAAAAACTAGCACTGTGCCATCCAGCGCTGTGTTCTTTCTGAGAACCGAGTTGATGGCTCCACTTCAATAAGCAATCAGCGCTGCGGCTAGATGTTAACCAATATAAAAAACCAGCACTGCGCCTTTTGTCGAAGCGAAATACCCGTGAAGGAGGTGTTTAGTTAGTAGCTGGAAATACCGAGCTGTGAATGAATGCAATTGCTTGTGGAAGGTCACTTTCTCTTTTCTCCAGATCAAGTGTAAAATGCAGCAAATCGCCGTCCATATCGTTCTATTAAAATGCTCAAATTTACCAATTTCACTTGAATGGTATGTTGTTGGACGAAAATGAGGTATGCCACTTTTATGAAAAAAGAACTGGATTCGTTGGACACGAATTAATGCCCTCTATCTGAATGGAAAAAAGCTGGAGTCCCGAGCAAAGACAACAGATTGCGCGAGAATGCAATAACTATAACACTACTACTACTGATTTTTTAAATAGGAAACACGAAATTAAAACGACTTTCTTTGTCAATGACCCTGAGCTTATAGACAGCTTCAGACTTATTAAATAGAAAATTTAGCCCAACAAGATCAATTTCTAAATGTTCAAATGGCTTCGACATGTAAGATTTGACAATTTTGACCTTCAATTGCTCAATTGTGTCGAAAACTTCTGGAGACAGGCGAAACCTATTGGCTCTTTGTGATTGAATTAAAAGTAAAATGTTTATTGAATAATTTCTCACCCGTTCTGCATTATACGGAACAATACCTCGTTTGTATGTATGTGTATGTATTTTAAGTGTTTGTTCACGTTTGTATGAGTAAATGTATCTATGTGCATATGAATGAATGTGTAAATGCATGTATGCGTATATGATTGAATATGTGATGGTAGGTATGTGTATGAATGTGTATGTGTATTTATGTGTATATGTTTGTATGTATATATTTAACTGCATGTAAGAACGCATGTACGTATGTATGAGTATTTGTATGTGTAAATAAAGGAATGAGTGTAGGTAGGTACGTGTATGTGTTTGTGTGAATATCTGTTTTTATAACTATCTGTTTTTATATGTGTATGTATTCATAAATGTGTGAGTATATGTTTGTATGTGTATGCATGTACATGTATGTATCTGTATGTGTATATATGTGTATGAGTATTTGTATGGGTATGTGTATGCGTGTATTTCTGTATGTATGTGTATGTATGTAAATATGTATGTATGTAAGAAAGTATGTACCTATGTATGTGGATGCATGCATGTATGTATGTGTATAAGAAGAAATGTGTGTAGGTAGGTATGTGTATGTGTTTGTATGTGTATATATATTTTATATGTGTATGTTTGTACGTGTATGTATTTATACATGTATGTATGTGTATGGATATTTATGTGAATGTATGTTTATGTATGAACACGTTTGAGTGTAGATAAGTATGTATGTATGTGTTTGTATTTAGAAATGTGTATTTATTTTTAAAAGTATGTATTGGTTAATGCATGTTTAAGCATATGCATGGATGTGTGTAGGTAAGTATGTGCATATGTTTGTTTATGTAACTGTTTGTTTATGTGTATGTATGTACATGTATCTTTTTATATATGTTTTTATGTGTATGCATGTAAGATTATTTATGTATGTAAGTGTTTGTATGTATCTATGTAAATAAGTAAGTACGTATGTATGCATGTATGTATGTGTATGTGTATGTATGTATTTGTATATGTATGTATGTGTATATGCATATATGTGCATATGAATGCATGTGTAAAGGCATGTATGCGTACATGAATGAGAGTGAAGTAAGTTAAGTAAAGGTGTTCGTATATATATGCATTTGCACGTATATATGTATTTATGTAAGTATGTGTATGAGTGGATTTTTGTTTGTATAAATTGCAAGCTATTCAAGCTATAAAACATTTAATTATATCAAGTTTTCACAGAGTAAATCGACATGTGTCTATGTAGGTACAATTATAATTGTATGTCAACGTATGTTTATTTGTCTAACGTAGTCTCTTCTACTTTTTTTAAAAAAATTTTCATAATTTTATAATTGAGTTTTCATAAAAAAACAAGTTCCGATGTGTATATACAATGCATACTTTTTGTGACCTGGTCTTAGCTTTTCCAAAAAATCTAGTCTAGTACTCCGATTTGTAATACTTTGTTGCTTTGTGACCTGAGACACCGCAGAGACCAGCGGTCTTAGCATTTCTAAAAACACTAGTCTAGGCCTCCAATTTGTAATAAATTGTTTCTTTTGTGACCTGAGTCACCGCAGAGACCACAGGTCAGAGCTTCATAAACTGTCAAAACTGGGAAAAAAAACATTCAATATAAGCTCGACATCAAAACAGTTGGATAAGAAAAAATAAGTTAGTTTGAAAACTATTGTAGTTCAAATATTTTCCATGCTTGGTTTTCGAATTGAGGTATCACTCTGACGACGAATTTCCGGGCGTCTTCAACGCTAAGATGTATTTCCTCCGAAAGATACGATTCGAGCATACCATGAGGGGAAACATAACGCTCTGTAAAATGGTGGCACAGAATTTGGTTGAGATTTTGGCAGTTTTTGCGTATAGCGTAACAATCTGATCTGGACAAAACACCAAAAACAGCAACATTTGTATAGTCACTTGCATTATTGACAAGCTGAGTTATATCTTTGTACACGGTTATCGGCTTCAACCGAGCCAAATTTCGGAAGCTGGTGAGGCCGCCTAATCCTATCAGAAAGTCAATACAGTGATACTCATTGAAATGGATGTTGTAAATTGCTGGCAGATTGTTTAATGGTTTCGTTCCGAAACAAAATGACTATCAACAATTCGAGCGCACACACCCGAAAGTGTTGAATCGCCAAAAATGGCCAGCTGGTTTTCAGGATTCATTATTTTACGTAACTTCACAACATTGACTCCTCTGATCCTGAGGATTTTTATCTTCACGTCAACAAGCTGCACAGCTTTGGCTCGTTCAATGTTGCTTACTGATGTTGTTTGAACATGGTGACTTGATGTTGTTTGTACATGTTGTTTGGAGATCTGATTGGACAAATCGGAAACATCAATCTCATCATCCACCGTTTCCTCATCCGTTAACTGCACTGTTGCGGTTACTGCTAGCCTTCGCTGTTTAGTTTCTATGGATATATTCGCCAATTCATTAAGTCTAGATCATCGTAGTCGATACAGATTTTTGGTATTTTGTAATTTCGCAACATTTCACGCTTTTCCTCGTCCGACTTTGCTATAGATGCCAACACTTCTTGAAACTGTCTTTGTTTTTCGGCAATCACGCTTGGTGGATTACTGGCTATCCGCCCCCTTTAGCTCTTTTTGAGCCTTTTCTACTCGCTGTAGTGCCATCTTCCCTTTCTGATCTTGGAAAAATCTTTGAACTTTTTAAATAGCGTGCTGTCGATGTTCGTCTAGTTGAAATTTCGCTTGTCTGAATTGGGTGTGTTTTTAAGAATCCCGGTTAAAATGGCTGCGGGAATCAATTCAAATTTCTCTCCTGATAAATTGAGTTCGGTATTTGATTCAGTTATCATTAACTGAAAGACATGGTCAATTATTCTTTTTATAAGGAAAACTCGTGCTAAATTAACTTGGTAAATAATCCTTTATCACCATTCTATCCTTCCAAATTATGAATAGTACAGTACTTATTGAAATTACCCTTAAATCCTTCCTCGTATCTGGGGGACTTCGGTATCGATCGATCATAAGGGGGGGATCATAACAGGGTGGGATCATAACGTTTATAAATTAAAAGTGTTCTTTTATTACGGTGTAACTCATGCTTATTGGGACAAATCTCTGAGAGGTCTCGGAATATAAGCGCTCCTAGTACGGTTCTATAACTTGGCTTACAAATCACTGATATTGCTACAAACCATTTGGCCGGAATGAAATTTCGGATTCAAATAGATTTTCTGATGATTCTTCCAAATAATGCCGCGACCGCCCAAAGGCGTCGGATTGGTCCTAAATTGATCCGGATAGAGTGAATATGGTAGAAATGCAATAAATCGACCCAGAGGGGTCGGGATAGTCCCAAATTGATCCGGGTAGGGTGGATATGGTAGAAATGCAATAAATCGGACCAGAGGCGTCGGGATAGCCCATAATTGAGTGGTTAAGGCAGAGCTTAGACTGAGTGTCTGGAATTGTATCTTAGGACCCACGGGCGTTAGAAATCATCCAAAAAACTGCTTTTACTCTCTGGAAAAGTGTCCCACATAGATTCTTGCAATGGAATAAATGGTAATTGTCCGTCAGCTGACTATCGCAGAGTCTGCATCTGCAGGCTTCTCCTACTGAGAATCCTAAAATTGAGTCAAAGCATTGAGCATTTCGAATTCTGAAGCAGTTATCAAAGTGACAAACACATGAGTGTAGTCCTGAACAATAAAAAAATGCAATGATGCGTCGTCTAATCCCTTTCACTCCTTGTAGGTTGAGGAAGTCGTATTCCAATAAAAAGTGTCTCAAATTCCTCGAGCTGTGATGCTGTGATACACCGCACCAGACTTTCCAGAATTGGTTTTCTAGCCGAATTTGACCGTGCAAAGCGATATCCAAAATCACAATATTTTTTGAAAGCGAAATTTTATCATATTGAATCGATTTTTTTGGTTCATTTAACAAAAAAGGTGGAAAACAGCCGTTTTCGAGTAAAACTTTTTGTTTTCTCAAAGTTCCAAAAGAAACTATATTAAGTATTATACATATTTGGAAATCTCTTGAAGAGTTCTTTCCAAATACATTAAACTCGAGGAGAAGAAATCAGAATCGTTTGGATGGTTATCTGTTTTTTCGGGTATCCAAAGAGTAGCGTTTTTAGCGGTTTCTCGGAAAAAACACCAAAATATAAAATTGCCAAAGTTAGATTTATAATGTTATACATACGGCCATAAATAACTTTTACATGGTTTTTTTGGTACATAGAACGCTTTTTAAGAAATTCTGGTTGTTAAGAAATTATTTAATGAGTTTTTGAAATTTAAAAAAAAAAGGAAAAAAAATTGACTTGAAAACTAAAAAAATTTTGACCGAGTTTGAAGTATTTTGAAAAGATTTTGATTCTGATTTTTCATGAAATAGGTTGATATTTGTTGAATGTTACTTCAGAGAAAGAAGAATTGCTTGTTTAAGTCCCGAATGAAAAAAATTCAGAAAAATCTTTGAAAATTTCTTGAATTTTCTAAAAAAAAGATATCAAGTATTATTCATATCTGGAATCCTCTTGAAGCGTAGTTTTTCAATATTTTACAAGATAAGCGAATCATTGAGAATCGTTTGAACAATTATCAGTTTTGTCGGTTATCCAAAAAATAGCGTTTTTGGTGGTTACTCGGAAAAAATGCAAAAATATAAAATTTCCAAAAGTAGATTTATAATGTTATACATACGGCTAAAAAGAACTTACACGGGGCTTTGTTTTGTATAAAGAACCTTTTTCAACAATTTCTAGTTAATAGAAAACTGAAAACGTTATGTGACAGTTAGACTTCATTGCTATCGGATTTCTATCAGCCAGCAGATAT